ATAAAGATTTTTACACTAATCAACTGAAAGTTACAAGACCCTTAAATATTGATGTGAGAAACTGGCAGACAAGAAGACAAGAGCAGACATGAATGACCTGTTGCCTAGGATGACAGGATGCAGAAGGTTGGCCTGCTGTATAGTAATCAAAGATAATGCCCCTAGGAAGAGGAAGTAAGAAAAAGTAGGATAGGGAGGAAAGATTGCTTTTTATTACCAGTACAATGGTACCTGATAGGAAGGTCAGGCCCAGGTACTACCTTGGTGATAAAAATAAAATATATTAGAGAACTTAAGTGCATCAATTTTTCCATGGATTTATTTCTGCTTTTGTTAAACTCTGTGAGGCTTTTGCAGTATCTCCAGCAGAACCACGGCGGCATTCTTCATTTTTGCTTCTATACAGACTAGTAGGGTTCTTAACTTCAATTTAATTCTTTAGTATATGTTTATTTACAGTAGGACCTTTCCAGTTCCTTTTTTGAGGCAGGGGGGTGTATGCATGCACATGTGTGTGCACACACGTGTACATATTGAAGAATTTTCGTAAGCTCTGTAGAGCTTAGATAGCGGAATGCTATCTAAGGTAAAGGTTTAAAATTTTGGGACAAATAAGTTGCCCTGCTCTCTTGCCCTGCTCATAATTCACTAACCACTAAAGTACAGTGCAGAGTTAATGTGTTTACTGGAGTAAAAACAATTATACAGTGGTTTCAGCCAGCTGCTTTGCTTACAATAATGTAGTCTCACAAAACAGGTGGCCTGATGTCAAAAAACATCACCTAGGGGAATCATCCAGAGAATTGCTTTTTTGGAAGCGTCTTTTTTAGTTTACTTGCTAAATGTTTTTATCCTCGTTGTGTGATGCATGCTCGCTAGTTACCTAGATCACACAATTACATTTTTGATATATGTAGACTGGCACGTTAGTTTTGCTTGTCATCATTAGCTTGTTCTTGAAATTGCTTACCAGCTAAAAATAAAAATAGCAAACAATCCAAATGTTTTACAATGTTTAACAATCCGAAGATGATAAAGGTATCATCTTTGTTATCCTTTCTGATCAATAAGGAACCCTAGTTTAGTTTTTTGGGGAAAATGTATCGTTTCTGTATGTGAGATGCTCAAAACTTGCTTAACGTTTCTAGGAAGCTTTTCAGACTTTAAATCTCCCTGCTTGCATGCAGTGTAAAAAGTTCATATGTATTTGTATACTTCTCATATATCAAAAAAGTTAAAAAAAAAAATTAAAAAAAAAAAAAAAAAAAAAAAAAGGAGGGGGGAGGAGGTGGCAAAAAAGTTATGCTTGCTTTTCAGTATTGACAGTCCTTTTTGTCATTTGCTGTTTGAATAAGTTCACCAAAACTAATCTAGTAATTTGTGTTGTATCTCTGAAGATTCAGTTTCAGTGGCAGTGAAAGATCGTATATTATGTTACTAAAGCCATCTCGGCAGTCGCTGCCTGACTCTGGCCATGTTTTGCTGATGCTACTGCGGATTTCAGTAGGTTATATGCGAAGTAAGTTGCTGTCAGTCTGGGTAGGAGTTGCAGAAATTGACTGCAAGTGTTTAAGCTTTTTATTGGATTTAAGGCTCGGAGTTGGTACTTTTGTTTTGTATGCGAGTAAAGTAGTAGAGGGTTAAAACCTCAAAGTTGCATTGGTACCTGAGCCTAGTGTTAGGTGATAGTCTCAAAGCATGACCCATCTGTTATTTCATTTCCTCAGCAGTCTGTGTTTGTGAAGTCAAGTAATCTGTTTCTGAGTTAATGAACTATTTTTCTTGGACCTCTAGCTCAGCTAATACAAATGCATACACTTTCACTGAAATTTAATGAAATGGTATTGTTTCCCACTAGGCAGCTGACCTGATTAGAAATTTTACAGTTCAGTAAAGGATGACCAGCAGGACGGTCTTAAAAATATAGTTCTTTTTTGCTTCGTTGTTTTCCTTTCACTCATCTTGAGGTTGTCTCAAGGCACTTGTGAAGTGATTAGTACTAAGATTGTTACTTTTGCTTCATTTGGTCAGACATGATTTTCCAATATAGGACTATAGTCTATATGATGTAGAAGCAGTAGAGTTTCATATTTATTACGTTTTAAAGCACATTATTCAGATCTCTTCCATGCCTTATTCTGATTATTTCTAAAGCTTGCATCATCAGACAGAATGAGAGATTTTTTCCTTGATTTAATATTTTAAATTATAAAATGGAAAGGGTATTTATTATTTTAAAACTGATTCTGAGAAAGTCTTGAATTTACTGTTATTTTAGTATGAAATCTGCTTTCGAAAGAAAAGAGTGTGACAGATTAAGGAAAACAGATCCGTTTTCTACCAGGTTGAGTGTCCACTGACAATCTTTATAGTTCGTTCATTAAATCACTTTGCAACATTTCCATAACCAGATCTTTAAAAGTTAAAGCACCGGTGTGATGCACAGTTCCCATTCATGGGAAGTTTGTAGCATACTTTACTGAATTAGTACTCTTTTATGAGTTTTGTAAAGCACTGCTGATGGGACGTTTTATGCAACAAAGCACAAACTGTTCTTCCACCTAATCAATCTACAGGTTGCCTATATACTCCTACAGGAGTAGGTTGCATCTCTGAATTTCAGCTCTAATCATAGAATACTAGTCCAGAGTGAGTTTAGGAGGGACATACTCAAGTTTATGAATGCATTTATGCAGACACAGGGTGGAGCTGTGACCGCGTCCTGTCCCTTTTCGGTGAATTGTACCACTGCAGGCCTTGAGCCCTTCCAACCCCCTTGTGCACAGATTTATCAGGGGCTGGCTGGTACTTCAGTTCTCTTCCTAGTTCTCTCATGATGCTGTGTACTCCACAGTTGCATCGTAATCTTTTTCATTTGACTCCAGAATGGGAAATGTCAGTGCTTTTCTTACACTGTCACTACTGAGTATGCAGACTGTCTTCTGTTTCTGCAAACTGTACAATTCCTTAATCTTTCTGCAAATAGAAGTGCAGAGCTCTTATTTTCTACAAATGTGAAATAGTTCTCCTTGAGTTCTGCTTTATATAAATGACTGAATCTCAGTATGCAATGAAGATTTGAGATGAGTCCAATTTGCTTGCCCTAATTTTGAGTTGAACTCATGCAGAAGTGACAAGTTTTGTGGCTAAGCGTAGGACTGCGCCAGGACTCATTTGAGAATTTTGTGTTTGATGAATCTGTGGTGAATCACAAGTCAAAATGAATCTTGAAACTGTATGATTTCCGATTTTACATGTGTACAACTTGACTAAGAAATGCCGAGAATGTTGATGTAGCTGTTTTTTTCTGCCTTTGTTCACAACAAAACATGAGGAAAAAATATTTTTTTATTTTTAACAATGCTGATAGGACTTCCATTTATTTTATTTTTAATAGTTCTTTTAAAATTCATTAGTGTACAGTTTTCCGTGGAGTTCTGTTAGTTACCGAGCCCACACAGAAGATGGAAGATGCATTGGTGTTTTATATAGTTCTAGGGAAATGACTTGTCTCACAGGTGACTTCCCTTTTGGAGTAAGGGTAGTTCCTATGCGATACCTGCTCATGTGTTGCAGTAGGCACCAGGAGTTTGAGCCTGTGCATTTCTGAAGAGCTATAAACTTTTCACTTTTATTTTTTCAATTGCAAGGGTTTAGTGACCTTAGTCCTTCTTGTGTCTGCATAATAATTTTCAGTAGCTTTACTTGTTTTAGTTGTGAGAAAATGCCATACTTCTCCCTGCGAAGCCAGATTTGTAGGCTCCACATGAATATAGTAAATAATAAATTATATTTTTTTCAATTCATTGTTCATCTGACTAGTTTTGTATCTGTCATGCTAAAAAAAAGTAACTGTCACCTGTGGAGATGCAGACAGGAAACAAAATAATGTTAAATCCTTTTTGGTGTTCTCTACGTAGCATTTAGGAAATGAAACATTTCAGTAATTGAATTTGAATTGTGGCATTTTCATTATTTTGAAGTATAGTATGCTGCATATGCCTGTAGTTTTTGTTCTTGGATCCTTTGACCCACGTATGACTTCAGCCAAACTTCAGTTATGACTGTTTTTGATCTTGTGTGTTCCCCTCTTCTTCCCTCATGGCAGAATTAGGATGATACCTATGTTAGCAAGCCTGAAGTTTTTGAAAGCACTCTTTTCATGTGGTGGTAACTGTGGCTGGCATAACTTCATTTTCATGTTTTGCTACCTTCCTACAGTAGAAATCTGTCTGCATGTGTGTGTATATATATAATGTGTGTGTGTGTATTTATATTTCTTCCAAACTACTAGTGTAATACCTTCTGCCAACACTCAGGTGTAATAGTCTTGGTTCATTAGCAGTCTTTGATTGACATTCACATATTGGTAGAGATATTCTCATGCAGCTGTCAGTGTGTAAGGGATAAGCTACTACTGTACTATTTGTGCTCATGTCCGCCTTGATACAATGATCTTTGTCTCCAGAGCTTTTCCTTGGTCCCATTGCTGCCATGCAGTTGTTCACTTGTATGCAGTGTACTGCATACTGGAGCTAGGTATGTTTCACTCTCCAGTAAAATGGCAAATTCTGGGATCTGGATTTAGGAGAAACTAAAACAGTAGAAGGCAGATGATTGATTTAGGAATTACATTTGAAACTGGTGATGAGGCTGGAGTAGGAATTGTTTTGAAGGCTTTTTGAAGGATTATCAGAAGTTTTATTTCTGCAAACTTGTTTTTTTGAAAATGAATTCCTAGAATTCCAATTACTTTGATTGACATTCACATGTTGATAGAGTTACACACTGAGAGCTACACAAGAGTAAGGGATAAGCTACTACAGTACAAAAAAATATGAATACCGGAGAATATTTAGATGCTTTATTTAGCCATCTTGATTTTTCATGTGAATTTCATGTGAATTTCATGTGAATTTCTTTGTCTCATGCAGATATTTGTAATTTTTTTTGTCATTTATGTCTACTCTTTCTGTTTCTGTACTATTTCTTCCAGGATAAGTTGGATATCTGACATTATTGTGGTGGTCTCTCCTGAGAATATTGAGACAATGAAGACTATCACTCAAAAGTATGGCCACAAAAAAGTTACGGTAGTAAAAGGTGGAATAACTCGTCACCGATCAATTTTTAATGGACTGAAAGTATTTGCTGAGAATGAGTTTTCCAGCTGTCTGCTTCAGAAACCAGAAGTAGTGGTTATCCATGATGCTGTGAGGCCATTTGTTGAAGAAGATATTCTGTTAGAAGTGGTTATGGCTGCTAAAGAATATGGGGTATGTACTAAATAGCTGTGCAACACTGCAATGTTCTTATATACCGTACAGGGTAAAAGTGGGATCTCCTGGGACTTGCATTAATGCATTCTGTTGGTTTTTAAGTAGAATAGATTCAGAACAATGATTATGCAGAGAGGTCAGACTGGGGGAGACATTTTTTTAAAGGCAGCAAGCATTATTGCTATGGAGAATAATTGTTGCCATAGAGGCTATCACTAAGGTACTAAATTAATCTGCAATGTGTTAGTTAAAGCGTAGTTTGCCTAATGATAATTTGCTATATTTACCTTGTACTTCACTTCCCCAATAGTAAACAAAATAAATTAAAACCTATTAGCATAAAAAACAGGTGAAATCTATTAATGGCATCAGATTGTTTAGGTATTAGGAAGCTAGGAAAATCTACTGCTGCTTGTCTCTTTCAGGAAATGAGGTAAGTGGTAAGTTAATTGACAGATGTGTTTGCAACTTTGACAGCGGAATAAAGAGTCTAAAGGATGAATTTAGGTATTTCCTTAGCTTGCTTTTTTTTTTTAAAATGTACCACCTATTACATAATTTTCATAATAAGTATTTTAAAGGCTCCCAGAACATATTTGCATTGCAAATGTAAACATATATACCTTCCTAGCAATTGGCCTATACTTTTGTAGTTTAGCTTGGTTAGAAGTGGAAATAAAACAGAAACTGTGCTCTGTAGTTTTCAGTAATACAACACTTTGCTTTCCACAGTAACTTGAACTTAAATTCTGTTAGAATATTGGCAAAGTTTTTGACCTTTCTTATTTACTGGGAAATATCTTTCTAGAGTTGGTTCTCTGCCAAGGATTTTAAAATAAATTCACTCTGTAAATCTGTTTTAAATGAGATTCTTTGGGATTAGTAGAAGAATGGAATTAATTGTGCTGATGTGGGGTTGAAATAGAATAACCGTTTCCTGAACGTGTTTGTGTTTAGGTGTCTTTATGGTTTATCAGCCCTTACACTTGGCTTTATGTATTTTAAGTTATTAGTGAGAGCCAGAAAAATTTACTTGTTCACTTTTTCTTGAACCTGTTAATGATTTTTAATTTAATGCTTTTTCCCCATTTTTCCTTTTTCTTCTTTCTTAATTGGGTGTAAGACATAGCACCATATCTTCAGTAAAACAATAGAGAACCAAGGCAATCTCCATAGACCTTCTCAAGATGAGTACACACTCATCTGAACTTCTGCCTGGTAAACATCTCTTTGCCTAGATCACCTAAATAACATATGATTTTATACAGGTGATCTTATACATCATAGTCCTCTTTTCCACTATATAATCTCTTTCTAAAATGTGTGTGGTATATAATGGCTCTGTGGTGATTTCTTATGTTGACTTAGATCCACTGAATTCATTGGAGCTAGACCATCAGAGAATTAGACTCCAAAAGCTGTTAGCTACTGATGTTACTTGTCACAGTTGTTGAGTTGGGCAACGTGAGAACAACTTCATGTTACGCAACAAGCTAGCATTGCTGCCTGCCGGAGAGAGAGGTGGTTATCTTCACCTAACAAACGTACAGAATTTTGAGGAACTAAATGGAAAGCCAAGGCCTTTTCTCAAAACTGACATGCATGGTTTTGAATATCACAAAGATTTTTGTGGAGCAGAAGCTATCATCTTTAGTTCTTCTTATAGCCGAATTCTTTGCATATCCAGAGGAGGGTCAATTCTTCAATCTTTCAGTGCAAAAAGTAATTACTTCCTTTTGCATTATGTAGAAAGGCACAAAACCTGGAAGAAACATCATATTAAATCACTAATGTAATAGGAATAATGCTGTATTGTTCTTCATCTGCATACCATATAGATAGCATAATTACGAGAAGCTTTAATGTTCTTTAAAATGGCAATTGATCAAGTAAGTTATTGCATTTCTTGCTGCCAATTGTCAGACAAATAAATTACTTTATTACACTTACTAATCAGTTTGTTATTTGCCTGTAGGAATCAAAATGTGCAACTTATCCAGAACTAATAAATTATACCTTAAATCTTTGAAACATCCCTTGATTATGTGGAAATATGACTTTGTAACCAATTAAATTCCATTTACATTTTGGGGGTAATTTTATAATTAAAGTTACATGTTTCTAGAAACAAATTCTTTATTGCTAGTAAAAGTTGGGAAAAGTGGAAGCTTCAGAAGGCATCAGTCCAACGCCTCTGGCAATATCTCACTGCCAGCATTGCATTTTAAACAACATAACCAAGAAAGTGTTTACAAGAATAAAATCAGGAAGTGGGGGTGGGGGGTTCTTGTCAGCTCTGCTGTGGAGAGCGAAAAAAGCTCACCTACAGCCAGAGATTCTTTCACTAGCTAAAATATCAACTAGTTTTGAAAATATAGTTTATTTCTCTGAGGAAATGGACTGAAATCAAAACTTCTACATTCTTAAAATTAGAAGCTGGATTCTGGAAATGGTTGAACATTGTTAGTCTTTATTCATAATTAGCAAGGATTGGAGCAAAGCATGCATGCCTGTACAGATACACTGTACTACTTAGTCTCATGGACTTTGATTCACATACACAATCAGTTAAAATAATTAATCTCCATCCAGAAAAAAACCTTCACATATCATGCTTGGTCTGTTGTCTCGTAGTTTACTCAGATTCAGCGCTGTGATACCAGTCTTGCTGTGATACCAGTCTTGCTGTGATACCAGTCTTGCTGTGATACCAGTCTTGCTGTGATACCAGTCTTGCTGTGATACCAGTCTTGCTGTGATACCAGTCTTGCTGTGATACCAGTCTTGCTGTGATACCAGTCTTGCTGTGATACCAGTCGCGCTGTGCTGGAAGGTTGGAGCAGAAAACATGAGCATGCATACTCTTCTTTAACCCAATTATACAGCAAAATAAAGCACTTTTATGATTGTGGAGTTGCATTAGCAAAATATGGTGAATGGCAAGCCAAAATGCAATGCTCATTCTCCACTGAAGGTGCAGGAGGACTTGAGTGAATAAATAGTAAAAACCTTCACATATCATGCTTGGTCTGTTGTCTCGTAGTTGTGATACCAGTCTTGCTGTGATACCAGTCTTGCTGTGATACCAGTCTTGCTGTGATACCAGTCTTGCTGTGATACCAGTCTTGCTGTGATACCAGTCGCGCTGTGCTGGAAGGTTGGAGCAGAAAACATGAGCATGCATACTCTTCTTTAACCCAATTATACAGCAAAATAAAGCACTTTTATGATTGTGGAGTTGCATTAGCAAAATATGGTGAATGGCAAGCCAAAATGCAATGCTCATTCTCCACTGAAGGTGCAGGAGGACTTGAGTGAATAAATAGTAAGGCTCATCAGATACAATATACTGAAGTGGGGCAGGCAGTGTTGGAGCAATTCTGCTCTCTTTTCTTTCACTGTTCTTGTTCTTTTAGAAGGAATTACATTCTTAAATTTTCTTGACTCCTCTGTTTTCACCATATTTGGAATATTTTACACGTGATCTTTGCCCTCTCTGTTATACTCTAAGACTGTTTTTACCCAGCTCTAGAGGCTGCCTTCCTTTGATGACCAGTAGCAAACAATTTACAATTCGTATTTATATACTTGGACCATCTGAAGTCATTCTATGCCCAGGGTTCCCGAGGTCTCTGCTATCATCCTATGCTTTCTATTTTGGGAGGCTCCTGCTATCCTGTCAGACACTTGTGCAAAAGCAGAATCAAGAACTGATGTCATATTGTCATCTTGAAGTGATTTGTATTCCACTGATGATATGAATTCTGTAGTTCTGACTTATGTCAATGCAAAAATATTTATTAATGAGTTTAAGAGGTGTTACAGAGCAACATTAGAAGAAAACAACATTTGGAGATCTATGTTCTTGTTTATGAAGATCAGAATACGTTCAGTAGTATTGTAACTTTTCTGAACGTGTTAGAAAATCAAGGTTCAATCTTCTGGAACTTGTAAAATTGGTAGATTTGATATATTTAGTTGCGTTCAGCTGATTTTATTTCCCTTACTTCAGTAAGCTTTGGAAACCCCTTAGTGTGGGGAATTGTGATTCTTCATATTTGATAATCATGAGCTAATTATCTATATATACACAGTGCAACAAAGGACTCGTATCCAGTCTTCACTGCAGGTGGTCTTGTATCTTATTCCACACACAGTTCTCCCATCCCAGCTAATCCAAAGTATTACATCATTCTCAGTGTACTTTCATACTGCGCAAGATTGTTCTCAATATACTTTTTTTCTTCTACCTGATTTAGTTAGTGGTTAAGAGCAGTTTGCTACCAGTGTTCAGACACTAGCATTGGAACCCGATCCCTCTTCATGGACAGTGATAAGAGATGTTGCTTGGCTGTTAAGGCCTTTTTAAGAAAATACAAGGACATTTGTTAAGGAAAGCAGTGATTTTTTAAAGATGTAAATTTCTACTGTGTCAAATGTATAATTAGAAGTTATTAGAAGCTGCAGTTTATTGCTTGAAAAAGTACTTATTAAAATATATTTTTGTTGTAGATAATCCTTGCTTTCAAAATCAATTCGTAGGACTTACTACATGTAGAGACTTGAAATTGTTCTGTTAAGGCTGAACTTCAAATCAAATATGTAGCAGGCTTCTTCAGTCTGTCCAGATCTGTTTGTTAAGGAAGTTCTTTCCTACTGAAAGATAGAGATGTGAATGGTTATAATCATATGATTGAAATCAATGCACTTTAAGAAATTGAATGATTAGAATTAAAACACAGAATAATAGGCCATTTCTTAATATAAGATTCTTGAGTATGTACTTGCTGTTGAATCCCTATGTACAAGGTTCCTTGATGCAAATAGTAAGGTTCCTGCTTGAAATCCAAGTGGGAAGTCCGATATTTGAGAACATCTCTATATTATTGAATGATTTTATTTTTCCCTCTTCCTTTGGGTTTTTAGATCAGCACTACATTGTGACCACATATTTCAGTCACAAATTCTTTATCGTTTACTCTTCAGTGCATATATAT